AGAAGAAGAAGAAGAAGAAGAAGAAGAAGAAGAAGAAGAAGAAAGAAGAAGAAGAAGAAGAAGAAGAAGAAGAAGAAGAAGAAGAAGAAGAAAAATAAAAGAAGAAGAAGAAGAAGAAGAAGAAGAAGAAGAAGAAGAAAGAAGAAGAAGAAGAAGAAGAAGAAGAAGAAGAAGAAGAAAGAAGAAGAAGGAAGAAGAAGAAGAAGAAGAAGAAGAAAAAGAAGAAGAAGAAGAAAAAAAAATAAAGAAGAAGAAGAAGAAGACGAAGAAGAAGAAGAAGAAGAAGAAGAAGAAGAAGAAGAAGAAGAAGAAGAAGAAGAAGAAGAAGAAGAAGAAGAAGAAGAAGAAGAAGAAGAAGAAGAAGAAGAAGAAGAAGAGGAAGAAGAAGAAAAAGAAGAAAAAGAAGAAGACGAAGAAGAAGAAGAATGAGAAGGAGGAAAGGAGGAGGGAAGAAAAAGAAAAAGGAGGAGGGAGAGGGAGATGAGGAGGAGGAAGAAGAGGAGGAGATGATGGTGGAGAAACAGCAACGCCAGAAGCAGCAGAAGCAATAGAACCAGAAGTATCATGATGGAAACTGTCCAACCCTTACGGCAAACTCTACCGTAAGCTAACCGTTGGTGTGTATTTACTGGTCTCAACGTACGGTCACACATAACACTCCCATCTGTAATCTGTCTACGAACTATACTAAGACCACAACATCATTTCACTTTGCCGCTTCCGCGTTATCAAATTCAGACGATATTCTTGTAAATAAAGTCGTTCCTGTGTGTATTCCTCTTTCTCCCCTCCCCCCCCCCCCCCTTTTTTTTGCCTCTCGGCAGCATCGATTCTCCTAAAGTTATCAGGTAATCTACCCCACTCCAGAGCGCATTGAGATACCCTTGCCAGGTGCTCGCTTTAAGGAGGCGCAAAACCAGGAATTGAAAGAACCAGGTTTATATAAAGGCCGGTTCTACGAGGTGTCTGATAAGTTGCCATAGGAAAAATTAAACTTGTTTCTAGGAAAACAATTTGTATTTATATAATTAGTTCATCATTATTTAGGAAAAAACAAACCGTTACATTTCAATATTTGCCCTCCGCTGCAGTCTTACAGGTCATCAAAGAACAACAAATCAAGTGGTTTGGACACCTAACAAGAATCCCTGGTACTATCTGCCACAGCGAGCCACATTAAAACGTTACAACGGGTATAGAGTGAGTGGAAGACCTCGGAAAATATGGAGTGAGGGCATTAAGAACAGCCTTACAGAAATGAACATCAGTCTTAATAGTGCTCTTGACAGAGCTCACCAACAAACATCATCTTCCCCTGACACTTCGATGAGGTACAAGGTGGAAGAGAAGAAGAAGAAGCCCTCCGCTGCTGAAGTTTGAAGATTAAACAACGGACCAATATCATGGCACACGGGAAGTAACCCATATTTGATCCGTTCTTCTTTCTAACTCAATTGCGAGTCCGAAGAAGCTCAGCACAGTGCACAGGTTCTGTAGCACCGGCGGGGATCCTGAAATTACTTTGGGTAGATTTTTAACTCAAAATTTTGGCCGGGCAGCGCCGTCAGGCTACTCTTGTTGATTTCCAACCAGCCCTTACTGGGGATTCAATTCGGATTCTCTAGCACTCGAGGCGGACACCAAGCCTCTAGACCACGCAGTCATCTCCGCTATCGAAGAACACGTATAAGCATCTAGTGGGTGATGCTGTCATTTAC